TGAGGGGGGGAGAGGACAAATGGGGGGGGGGGCGTGGGGGGACCCCAAATTATGGGGTGGGGGGACCCCAATTGGGGAGGGGGCTCCTTTAAAACCCAAATTAGGGGCGGGGGGGCTGCCAAATATTGGAGTGAGGACCCCAAATTGGGGAGGGGGCGTGCGAGGACCCCAAATTATGGGGAGGGGGCTCCATTAAAACCCAAATTATGGGGACGGGAGACCCAAATTGGGGAGGGGGCTCCATTAAAACCCGAATTAGGGGCGGGGGGGCTCCCAAATATTGGAGCGAGGACCCCAAATTGGGGAGGGGGCTCCACTAAAACCCGAATTATGGGGAGGGGGCTCCATTAAAACCCGAAAATTGGGGCGGGGGGCTCCCAAATATTGGAACTGGGACCCCAAATTGGGGAGGGGGCGTAGGGGGACCCCCAAATTATGGGGCGGGGGCTCCACTAAAACCCAAATTAGGGGCGGGGGACCCCCGAATATCGCAGCGAGGACCCCGAATTTGGGGAGGGGGCTCCACTAAAACCCAAATTATGGGGCTGGGGGACCCAAATTGGGGAGGGGGCTCCACTAAAACCCAAATTAGGGGCGGGGGACCCCCGAATATCGCAGCGAGGACCCCGAATTTGGGGAGGGGGCTCCACTAAAACCCAAATTAGGGGCGGGGGACCCCCGAATATCGCAGCGAGGACCCCGAATTTGGGGTGGGGGTCCCCAATTTTGCATCGGGGGGGGTTCTCCAGGAGCCCCCTCCCCACGGCTCAGAGCCCCCTCCCCAAATTCCCCAGCTGCTGCTGCTCCTGCTGCCCCTCCTGGCGACCCCCGCGGATTTGGGGACCCCCGGCTCGCTCCGCGCTCTGCCCGGGGGGGTCGCGGCGGATTTGGGGGGGGTCGCGGTGGATTTGGGGGGGGTCGCGGTGAATTTGGGGAGGGGTCGCCCCCCGTGCCGGGCCGTGAACGTGACGGTGGCGCTGGAGAAGGAGCAGTGCCCGCAGTGCCGGGCCGTGACCGCCACCGCCTGCGGGGGCTTCTGCCGCACCCGGGTGAGAATTGGGGGGG